TGTGGTTGTTGAAGTGAGTGTGAGTTTATGAGTATGATGTCGTTGTCGTGTTGTCTGTACTGGGTGCTGAGTTCTTGTCTTCGTCTGTATGTCCATGTGTGTACATTGTGTTGGATGATCGTGAGGCGTGAGTGTAATGTGGTGTTTGTTGCAGCCATGGTGTTACTTGGATGTATCGTACCAGCCATTGTGTAGGTGTTCAAAGTTTGGTTGTTTGAGTCTTTCGATCATGTCTGGCTGGATGAAGATGTTTCCTGCTTGTAGGTGTTGTGTAATTTTTTGTTCGTGAATGCGGTTTTGGTATGTGGTGTTTGTGTATATCCATTTGATTGTACCTCGTTGTATTTCGTATGCCAGTTCTTGTTTGTTTAAGTGGTTGTAGCGTGGGGGCTCTGTGGCAAAGAGGCGGATGCCGTATGTTTTTGGGTTGAGGTCGTAACCGTCTCTATGGCGAAGGTACTGACCATCGACCTCGGAGTCTGTAAGGTCGTCTGTGTGTTTTCGGTGTGCATGTGTTGTTTTGGGTTTCACTGATGGTGTTTATTGTGGTGTTGGCTGTTGTGGTGATGGTTTGTGCGTGTCTGTTTTGGGTGTTCGTGATCGTGCAGGCGATTGTGTGGGTGTGGGAGTTGGTGTAGGGTTGGGTGTGGGAGTTAGTGTACGGTTTGGTGTTGGTGTTGGTTTGTGACGGCGTCTCAGATGTAACTATCGACTAGTAACATCATTGCACACAATCTAAGCATCCAACAGTGGAACATAAATGGCTTTTCCGGAAGGAATGCCATGCTCCAAGCAGTAGTGTGATCAAGGAGCATTGACATTGTCATGCTCCAGGAGACACGAACGGTGGGCACTGTTCGCTCCACAGGGTATCACGTGTTCATGCTGCCACAAACTGCTGGCCTGATCACCCTTGTCAAAGCAACAATCCCCTGCTCCGCAATAGCCGATGCACCGCACTGTGGAGACGAGACAGAATCTCTAGCCGTAGAGATCCACCTGGCCGGGGGACCCCTCAAACTGTACAACGTGTACAACCGGCCAGGCTGTAGTAGCTTAGATATTAGCCAGGTCTGTGCATCTGCTGCACAAGACCGAGTGGTCATTGGGGGAGACTTCAATGCACATCATCCCATCCTGGCTCCCTGCCGGGGACCAGATGCGGCTGGCCGTCACATGGCCAGCGTGCTTGAGACGTTCCCCGAGATCGCTCTCCTCAACACTCGAGAGCCAACGCATGTCGGCGGTGGGGTACTAGACCTCACCCTGGTCACTGCGACTCTGGTGGACAGGATTAGCTGGTGTGTCAATGAGACTGTCACAAGCGACCATTATGGCACAGTAACCACACTCATGGATGCAGGCCCAACCGAAATCCCATGACCAAATCCAAGATGGAAAACAGACAAGGCCAACTGGCAGGCGTTCCAGAACGCTTTGGCTCACTGTCTGAGAGGCAATGAATCCACACAAGCCGAAAATGTGGATGTGCTGGAAGCCAGACTGGTAGAAGCCATAAACCAAGCAGCCTCACTGAAAATACCCAGAACTCGGCCCGGGTCCAGGCGTCACAAGGACGCCTGGTACTTTAACGACGAGATCAGGGAGGTCAACCACAGGGTGAACATGTGCCAAAAACTCTTCCGAAGGCAAAGAACCCCCGACAACCTCGCCCTGCTGAGGGAGGCTGTCAGGGATGCCAAGGAAACTGCCAACAGAGTCAGGCAGGAGACGTGGTTGGAATGGTGTGAATCCTTCAATCACAAAACCACCATCTCAGAGCTGTGGCAACGGGTCAGGCGAGCTACCAGCCGCTCAGCCCCGAGACGAACGCACTACGACCCTCAAGCAGAGGCAAACAGACTGGTGCACCAGTTCTCCGAGAGAACAAGCAGCAACAGTCTACCAGCTGAGCTGAGGGCAAAACAAGAAAACCTGAAAGCAGACAGACTTGCTCAGATCAGAGAAAGGGCAGCCGAAGCCGATAACTCAGACGTTATCTTTTCTCTGAGGGAACTTCGAAAAGCCTACAAGTACAGTTCCAACACAGGCCCGGGCTCTGATGGGATCATGTATCCCATTATCTCCCGCCTAGGACGAGAAGGTGAACTTGCACTCCTGCAACTCATCAACAAGTCCTGGGAATCTTCCTCTCTACCGCAGAGCTGGAAGAGGGTTATTGTAGTTCCCATCCCAAAACCAAAGGAAGGGGGGAATTACCGCCCCATCTCTCTCCTCAGCTGTCTGGCCAAGACGACCGAGAGGATGGTACTGAACCGGCTCCTGTGGAAAATGGGACCCCCACACGAACACCTGCACGGGCTCACCAGGGGAATGAGCACTGCACACAGCATAGCCACGCTCTTGAGCACAGTCAGCACAACCTCAGCCATGGTAGTATTCCTCGACCTGGAAAAGGCCTTCGAACTAGCAAGTCCTCTTGCTATTCAGGAGTCCCTGGCCCAGAAGGGAATCAGAGGAAAGCTCTTAGCTTGGATAGGTGACTACTTTAGGAACAGATCAGCCAGAGTAAAGTTCCAGGGTTACCTATCGCAGCACTTGCCACTGGAAAATGGGACACCACAGGGTGGGGTTCTCAGTCCAACCCTATTTAACGTACTTATGTCCTGTATCCTCAACATAAACCTCCCAACGGGGTGCAAGATCGTCTCTTACGCAGACGATCTTGCCATCACCGCCATTGGGACACAATGCCTAAGTAGAGCCCAGCGTTGTCTGGACCTTGTGTCTGAGGAGTGTTGCAGGACAGGACTTAAGATCTCAGCAGCCAAATCTAAGGCCATGGCTCTAGGAAAGCGAGTTCAAGGCACAAGTCTGAAAATCCAGGGAGTAGACTTGGAATGGGTCCCGGTGTTCCAATACCTTGGGGTATGGGTAGACCGGACCCTCTCCTTCCGGCAGGAGACCAAGTACCTGGTCGACCGATGCAAAGCAAGACTGAGCGTCATGAGAGCAATGACTGGGAAACACATAGGAACCAGACACAAAGTACTAAGATCCTTCTATGTATATGCTGTCAGGCCCATTGTGGATTACGCCTCAGTCGCCCTAATTGGCAGAAAACAAAAATACAGAGAAAAATTGGAAACAGTCCAAAATGAAGCTGCCAGAATCATTCTGAGTGCCCCGAGGTGGTCAAAGGTCCCCAACCTCCTGATGGAGGCCAACCTTTTCCCCCTGAACTCACGAATCGATCAAATGGCAACCAATTTCTTTGCAAAGGTCATCCAGGCTCCCAGGAACACGAGCCTAAGAGAAAAATTAGTCAGACGCCTGGAACAAGACAATGAGCTCTTTGCAAACAGCTCGTGGCTGTCCCACACAACCAGGGTGTTGATAAGCTTTGAGCTCAAAGAGCAGCTTCTCACCAAGGGCATGGACTCCCCCCACCCTGACTTTGTCGAAGCCCTGCCATGAGCACAAAGTTCGATAGAGTTCTCGGTCATGAGATTACCGCTCAAAAAGACCGAATATCCCATGCCTGGTCTAAAGGCAAAGACCTACAGGGTCATTTCAGCCATCACCCCCCCGGGTAGTAGAACTTACTACACGGATGGATCGGTCGATCCAGCCAACCACACTGCAGGCGCCGGCTTCGAAGCATGGATGCCATGCGCTCCATGAGAGTACCAGACAACGCCTCCTCGCTACAGGCAGAGGCCATTGCGATCATGGGAGCCCTAGCCCACGCGTCCCCAATGGAAGGACATGTAGTCATACATACTGACTCTAGGGCAGCCATTGACTTTCTCAAGCTCAGCTCACCCAAAGACAATATCTACCTCCTGACCACAATACTGACAATAGCCCAAAGAATACTGGCTCAGGGTAGAAGAATCATTCTTAACTGGGTCCCTAGCCATATTGGCATCAGAGGGAACGAACTTGCTGACAGACTAGCAGTCTCTGGCAGGGGTATGCCCCCTAGCCCCATGATCATTGCACCTAGCCGTAGTTTACTTCGGAAGAAGAGTACTGGTGTCGCCAACTCCTTCCTCCTGCAGCTTCACAGAGAGGCAACGAGATCCTCCCTCTCGGCCAGATGGTATTCAGAAGCAACAGGCTATGAACCTCTGGCACTCTCTGAGTTAAAAAACAGACAAACCGAAGTCATTCTCCACAGAATGCGCCTAGGTTACCACTGTAAATAGCAGATAATTGAGACCATTGTCCGTGAAGAGAGGTGTTGCATGCATTGCGGCGAGCCGAACGCCACACTTATACATTACTTAGAGAATTGTGTACACACACAATTCCTGAGACAGGGACCCCCGACAACAGCCGCCGTGCTGGTAAAGAGACTTTGCGATTCGCTTACCCCGTGGCAGCAGGAGCGCCTGCTGGTAATCCCACCGCCACGGTAAGCACCGAGTGTCACAGAATTAAATGAGTCAGCCCTAAAAAGCTGACAAATCGCAATCGATCGATTTAGTACAGTGGTAACGTGTCGGCGAAAATAAGGTTATACCTGAACTTCTTGCTAAAGTGTTTGCTCCGTCTTATATTTAGTGGAATAGCCATATAGGCTAGTAGTGTGCTGTTGCAAAAGGATATATACGTGGGCTTTTGACTTTCCCAATAAACGTGTTTTGTTTTTTCATTTGCTACTTCAGATATCGATGCTAGATAATTTAGAGTATGGTTGACGAGATACTGGAGAAATACTTTAGTTTGTGATAGACAAGATACGCATCTCTGCTATAGCCGCAGATTAGGTGTTGTGATTATTTTTCTCATTAACCTTGAAGTGTTACTAGGGTAATATTTTTATCTATTTATTTATTTATTTATTTATTTTTATTATTGTGTTTTATAAAGAATTCGATGGACAACGTGAGTTTGCATTGGTGATTGAGTTGCCAGATATCAATAGACTCCTTCCCAATGTTTACTTCGTTTTGCGGCCTAGGATGCGCGCG